TTTTTTTTTTAACATTTCCAAAGTGGTTTTAATGTGCAACCAATTTTAGAACCACTTGATCTCATTAATCATTAAATCTCTTAATTTTAAAACTTGGGGAACTGAGGCACAGAGAAATAAGCCACTGGCCCAAAGCCACTTAGTGAGTTCGAAAGAACCGCAGGACTAAAATTCAGGCTTCCAGACTACTCATCTCCTTCATACATTATTTGTTAAGTGTAGTTTTACACACTCCATGCTAATTCTTCCTGTTCTTGCCTTTAATGATGATTGTGCCCTGGCATCAAACACTGATTGTGCCCCGGCATCAGACACTGATGATGTTTTGCTTTCTTCTGTCACCACCAGAGGAGATGAGAGATGAAGAGGTCCACACCATCCCTCCCGAGTTACGGATCCTGCTGGACCCTGGAAACCTGGACAACCCACCCATCCGGGGAGGGAGAGGCCAGAGTGGAGGTTTCCCCTTTCCTTTCCTGGACATCCCCAGGAAAGGCCAGAAGGAAGGGGGAGAAGATGGGCTCCCACAGCCAAAGGACCCTGTCATCCCCGGCTTACGGCTGTTTCCTGGTCCCAGAGAGCCTGAGGAGGTGCAGGGCAGCATGGATGTTGCCCTGTCAGTCAAATGTGACAATGAAAAGATGACCGTGGCTGTAGAAAAAGATTCTTTTCAGGTCAGTGCAGTTCCTTAAAGGAGGGAAGAGAAGGCCACTTCCCCCCGCATCTCGCCCCAGTACGTGTTAGTTCTTTCTCTCCAGCTCTTTCACTTCGGGACTCCAGAGGCTCCATACTGTTTTCTCAGTTGGACGGGCTCACTTCCCCTCGGCTGCGATTCTCACCCGGTTTCTGTTGTTCTCAGTAAGGGGGGGTTCCAGATCCTTGTGTGTCAATATTTTGCTATTGGGTTTCCAAGGCCAACAAACACAATCCCGTTTGAGAGGCGGTTGGTAGGGGGCGGGGGACGCAGGCCTCCAGCAACCTTTACTTGGAAGACCAGGCAAACTGTGAACTGTGTGCTGCAGAACTGCCTGTGGGCCCCCTTTATGTTTTGGTGGTTGTTGTTTCAGTCCAACAGCTACTCGGGCATGGAGCTCACCCTGTTGGATCCTAACTGCAAGGCCAAGATGAATGGCACCCACTTCATTTTGGAGTCTCCCCTGAATGGCTGCGGGACTCGGCACCGGCGGTCCGCCCCGGATGGCGTGGTTTACTTCAACTCCGTGAGTGTCCTCCAGGGCGAAGCCTGGCCCTTGGCCAGAGCTTGCAGGGTGTTACCTTAAAACTAGTCGTAAAATTTCTGTGAAAATGAGGAGGGGCATATACCCCAGGCCCGAACCAAGCCAAGTGTCAGTTCTCAACAGAATGAGATGTACTTCGACCCTG